AAATCATTTGAGTTTCATTTTCTTTCTAGTTATCCGTAATCAATCTCATTTTCTTTTCTTCTCCTCGATGCGTTCCGTGGTTTCTGTAGCCTCCCGCCAAAGCGAAAACCCAGAACTGACGCCTATCGGTTCCCATGGCCAGGTATGCACACCACCACGTCATTTGAGATGGTTCTATGAACCGGTAACAACTTTGCCGTTGCATTTCATCATCAGCGAATGGTGGAAACATATAGCTTCAGTGATTAAAATATTACTTGGGAACAACACACTGTCCGTTTTCATCAAATACGTACATTTGTAAATATGTTCCAAATCACTTATCTAGCCCAAACAATAAAATTATTGTCTAGTGCACAGAGCTTACTTTACTTAACTGCGGTTGGCTCCTTGGAGAGGATAAACCAGCTCCAGATTTGATCATGAATTTCCTTGGGGGTTTGTTACAAGAGACTTCCCCAACGTCACTCGGCGTTTTTTATTTGAAGGCGCAACTCTAGCCAATCAAGTATGAGCTGCAAGGCAGTAGGAGGTAATCCCACGCTTCGGAAGGGAGGGGTCATTGACTTATTCACAGCTAACCTTCTTTTATGAAGGTTTCCCCTCACAATCCACAACCCGGGGACGCGCTTGGTATCATTCAGCTCTGCTTGACCCGAGGATATTCAGGTGCACCAAACACCTTTACTGTATACGTGTTTCTGTGCAGTGGTTCATGAACACTCATAGAAAAGATCCAAGGATTTGATGTTCCATCACTACATTGTGCTCGTGTGAGGATTTGAATCCAATCCACGCTATGTTATCCCACATGGTATCCCGGGAGAATGCTGAATCCTTTCTACGCACCCCCACTGAACGCAACAAGTAATCAACTGGTAATCAGACGCAACGACTTTTATTGCTCAGTATCGCTTAACGGTATTGGAAAGATTCAAATCGTCTCAGATTGGAGTATTTTACTGAGAATAGTAGATCTCAGTTCGTGGATGATGCTGAAGACTTTGCCATTGGTATAGACACTCCCCGCTAAGAAGCTCCAAACAATATCGATGAGGTTCAAATCAGCTTAGGAGTAGGCCAAATAATCATCATACCTTAATACAATGGCTGAATTTCTTTGGCATGATAGGTGATAGCGCAGTGGTTTAGTCACTGTCACTGGCGTGCTTTGGACCCTACGGTCTGAGGTTCCAGCCGCTCCACCGCTACCCAATTTCGGTGGTAGACAGCTTTCCTGTCGTCCAGTTCCGTACCACTCCCAATCTAGTGAAACCATGTTTATTTTACCACTCCATGTCCCGGAACCGAGACTACCACATTTCGTCACAGAATAACAATTCTTCGTGATTATGGGGTCCACCCCATCGTTTGTTCATCCCACAAATGTGTAAAAGAATATGCACATATATTTATTATTTTTATTTAAAATTTTTATTATGGGTAAATTGTAGCTAATGTTTATTGAATCCTATATAATCTGTAGATACTGGGTTCGGTTGATCGTACAATTAAAAAGGAAATGATAACGTTCACTCACGAGTGCTGAACAGTTCCAATGATTCGTTTAGCTGTGACTTGAATGAGTCAATGATTGGAGCACAAACAACCTGGGTTTGAAGAGAGTTCCATGTACAATAATAACTCTGAAACCGAAAAGGTGATGCCTAGCTTTGTTTTACTAGAGACGCATGAACTCTCACTGATCTTTTGGAACGCCTAGTAGATGGAAGTCACAAATTTTCTTGAAAAACTGTCAGTCTTGATCGGCTATTCGTGAAAACAACAGCCCAAATCATGACTGCGATGCCTTTGAGCACGTTATACCAGAAGTGTATTAATCAATCAGGATCATCGCTCTTACAGCTCGGGACTACATTATTCCATTCACTCTTTAGTTTGATTTGCCTTCTGTCCTAACCGATATTATTTACAGCATAACGTTTTGGGTGGAGGGCTGGGGCGGTACATAAGTGTTGGTCACCAATACTGCGTCGAGTGTTGAGTTCCAATTGTGCCAATGCCACCTAACTTTCAACACTTCTTTAATTTGAACATACCATTGAATAATATTAATAATTCACCTTCGTTCATGCATAACTGCTTGTATCCTTCAATAATTCCAGTTTACTTCAATCGGACTTAAAATTTCTTCGACAATCTCACCTATTCCCAATCCTTAGTCATTGCAAAAAAGTATCTCTTGTGTTTCAACACAGATGCAGCATTCTCCTGTTCCAGTGAATGAACGGTCAAAACTCGCAATTCAATTTCCTCCCGCAAAACACTTGTGTTATGAACTTTGCAGATAGATTTATGACGGATGATCAGTCAACACACTCGTTGTATGTGACTCATTCCGTCCAACTATCGAGCTATGCGGGCACTGTCCCGTTAGTCTTTGGGAAGTTCGTTAAGACATCTCACGTCATTGAGAAACATCGGCCGATATGAAATCGATTTTTCTGAATTGAAGTTCAGATCCTCATACAAATACGATGTAGTGATGGAACCAAACACTGGCACACAAATTTCCGTGATTGTATCCATATCTCTTGGCAGAAAATTGCGGAAAACAAGCCTGCTTTAAAAGCATTTTATATTATTAGGGTAAAACCGAATTTTCAGTGTCTACAACCACTAACCGTGCACTTTCGTGCGCCGGTTTTGGTTTCTGTTTCATGAAAGGGTAGATTGGAATACTCGAATCAGAGCGGGAGTGAAAATAGAGAATTCACGAAGAAATCTAGGACATGAACGAGCATCATTTTTTTATTTCTTTTTACGACATCCATTCAGTGTCTTTAACCATGGATTATGATGATCCAGATGTCCCCATTCAGTAAGCCGAATGCGACGTAAGCAATTCCCCCTGTGAG